CACACACACACACACACACGCACGCACGCACGCACGCACGCACGCACGCACGCACACACACACACACACACACACACACACACACACACACACCACAGACACGCACGCACGCACGCATACTCCTCATATATATTTTTTCACATCAGGGGCCGTGTCAAACGGCGGGACAATCGTCCCTAACACCAATAGACATCGACGAATAAATTATGGTCCCAACACAAACACTCGCAGCTTTGCCCGCCCCTCCCAGGAAAAATGCGTTAGCTATCACCCTGGACATGTATTGTATATAGACTATACTATATTTATATGTTCTACGTGTTTTAGATACATTTTAACACATTAGTTTACATAATTAGTTTAATTAGTAATAATTGTCTAACGAATTACTTTCGTGTAATGGTTTAAGCACTGGCTTACTTACACCCAGCACAGCATTATTTGGATTACTATCGTAGATAATTATGCATTGAATTCATCGTTCATACTGGTGTTCATTACTGCAAAGATTTCGTGAACGTCTTGGTTGCTACTCTGCCTAGAGTCACCCTGAATAGTGAATAAAGAATAGTGAGCTTTTGTTAATTGGATTCGCCAATGATACACATTTAATTATCACTAATTAAAATAGAGGATGAATAAACATGAAGTTAATGAGCATATTAGTAATTAATAATAATATAAGCTTACAAAGAACAAAAAATACGAATACGCCTGGATTTTCGTTCTCGCGTCCATCCTACTAGACTAATAATACGGATCATAAATTGTACAGGAAATAACGTTCCCGATCCAAGAAAACACATTTAGATACATAAAAAGAAAGACATCACAGCAACCTGTGCGAAACAGTCACATTAAGCAAAATGTGAAGCAGCTACTGCTGCTTGTTTCAACGCTGTCACTTCTTTTGGTTGAGTCTGTCACCTCGAGATTTAGACAGAATCGATAATTAGGCGAGCCACCGGTGCAGGTAATTTCGAGGCGCTGGCTATAATGAGTTTTGCAGAAGTTCAACCAAGAAATATTAATTATGATCTCTTCCGGCACAGCAGAACTGGTCGCAATCACACAGAAACGCAAACGTTAGAGACTTATATGGCCCTTGTCACAAAACAGATTCCAAAGCTCTATATAGAGAACATTCGAGCGGATATACAAAGCGTCATGATAAACAAACTATCCCGCGTTGTAATAATGTGTAAGGTAAGCCAGTTACTGTTATTTATATATAGTGCATGCAAATATTTATATAGAAGTGCATGTTATTTAGCACCATTAGAAATTAGTTATATATTATATTATTTTCGCTTTCTTGTTCTTGTTACTTATTACTTATTACATCAATTGTATTTTTTGTTCTACTGTTCCATATATGTATGTATGTATATTTTTTCCCCTCCTATTTCCTATATTTAGTTTAATTGTACTTTTCCCTCAGACATTTTATTACCTGTGGTAGTGGTCAACTCGAAAGCTTATGGCTACTTTGACCACTACGCACATTTACCTTAAACCTATCGATTCTATAATATTATTTATTTCTCTCCCTTTTTACCTATCTTAACTGATCTGTACAAATAAATGAAAAGTGCAAAATAAAAAGAATCTGAATCTGAATGTGTTCTGATCTGGGAAGGGAGTGGGGGTATCGTCATATTGTGGTGGGGTTACGTTGGTGTCACGGGTTGGTGTTACGGGTGGTGTTACGGGACAAGTTTATTACGCGACGGAAGTAGGACATGCGCGTAAACACTGGTCACAATCTTTTTAACAATTTTCAGTAGTCTCTACTGCGAGCTAAATACAATTTGCATCTGCAAACGATCGAACTAGACATTACGTTGAGAAAATTCTGGTTCATCTCGGTTTGTAACAGGGAACCGTGGCGATAATGTATTATTAATGTCATAATCGGATCAACGGGTTATATATTACGTATTTGCTTTTACGGGCGGTTGCAGTAAGTTCGCGTTGCTGCTATTTTCATGAATGTTATTTACGAGTTCACGGTTAGTTGTTGGCGGGTTTCGTACGAGTTTAGTTGTTATTACATTTCCTATAGGCGCTCTACAATATTTTACTTCATCTCTCGCAACATCAGACAAGGCTGATGTAATAGCAAATCTTATAAGCCAAGCTTCCTGTGTATTGGAAAATATGATATAAAAGGCACAACGACGAATTTATTTGCTCGTTATTCCGCTGTCGCAAAAACCGCACGCCAGCCTTATCTAGACTGGTTCACATACGCTTCCGATTGCTCGCTGAATCTCTTGCCCGTACGCGTTTCAGGTTCAGTCTAGTCCTACAGACGTCCGCTTTCTTAGAGCGCGTATATGCATGCATAAACGATTATTTTAATGAGAAGGAAACATCAATATAGAAATTTTCGAAGCCACGACGAAAGAATGCCTATACATGCACGTGCGGTACCTATACATATGCCATTTAACATTGCGATTTCCACATACCTATGAAAATGCGCTATGAGAAAACCTATATGGTAAATATAAACGTGATGGTTTTGGCGACTGATTAACGTGTAGCTAAATCACACTTGTGTGTAGGGAAACACATAAATAATTTTGTTAATTAATATAAGTGCTGTAACACGCAACCTTCCCGTACGTCTGACGAAAGCTTATAAATAAATACATTGTTTATAAACAAATTGTAATATGTATTTTTTAAAACGAATAGTTTATAAGCACATTGAAAATCTATAGGTTTTTTGTTGCTGTCACGCGTGACTTGTTGTCACGCATGAATCTTCTGTCACACGTGACCTACTGCCAATCATACGAATGTAGCAACGATTCTGGGTTGAGCAAAATAATTAAACTACGTAAACGAAATGACATTGATATTTTAGCTACCGCGGTGGGATATTTATTGATCAATACAACAACGGTCTACAGTAATATACAGACATAATGTATTTTTCCGTACATCTTAATTTAAATAAAGATGTCATATAGCAATCATTCATTGTAATATCAATTACATGCACGAGAGAGACATAATTATCGGTCGTGCTAGATATATATATATATATATATATATATATATATTATAAAAGCATAGTGCAAACACCCGAGAGTATTTTGCTCGTTATCTTAACTGGATTATTTGGTAGCACGTAAAATGGACAGAATTATCCATTCGGAACAATTCCATTTCCATTAAAACAGAAACAAGGCAGGCGATTGAAATCAGAATGAAATATGGACTTAAAATCAGAATGAAATGATCGCATTACCTTAGCAACGCGCCGATATAAACTTAGATATTTACGTTTTCATCGGGTAAGGATGCGAATCTAATATCTCAAAAGTTACAAAAATTGATAAATGAGAAACGCGACGCAACAGACATAATTCACCATTAGTTGATTATCTTCCGGACAAATTCGCAGTTTCAGTGAAGTCACCTGACTCTGAGAACTAATCGGATCTTTAGTAGGCACGCTTGGCTACTCAAAAATAACTCGACAAACACCGCGAATGTTTGACAATGGTCTCCGCGAAAAGGTCTGAAAGGCGGCCGCCACGAGATGACGCGAGTAGTAAATAGTTGCGAGTCTATGATAGTTGCATTTCGAACGTGTCACCTATACCGCATAGATATTAGACACCATGACATTAACATCGACCTACGGATAAGAGCTTGATCAACATAACTAATAATAACGGATTATTTCAACTTCCACGAAAGGCTCGGCCAGATATGAGCACACACGACGCCCACCCATTGCGTATAATTAGTAACATTTAACCATTGAATTTCTTTTATTTACAAACTTGAACACTGCCTGGCTTACACATGGCTTTTCCTTATTACTATCGCAAATAATAATCGATGTATAAGTTATTTAATTACTAATTTAGATGTCCATTAACGTAATGAATAAGCGAATTGATACATTGCTATGAAAATTGTGTAACGACATTTTGAGAATTGAATAATGAATTGAAGATCTATCAATAAATAATTCAAAATTAACTATTATCGACTAAAATATATGATGAGTGGCTTGTGAATATAAATGACTATGTTATTACATGATGATACATCATGATCACTAGTAATAAAAAGATACGACCACGCTCTCACCGAGATAGCGACTCCACTTGATTACAATACTCCATGATGTCGCCTACGATATCAACGTTGAGTTCGAAAAACCACCAACTCTAACACAGACGACGTAAGTCCCACTTACACACACGTTAATCTAGCACATGAATCTATAGCTAATACGTACAGCTAGCGTCGTTATACGCGACTCTATTCTTATTTACAACACTCAGAACGGCCGCAGACATGTGTGTCGCGATAATATACACGTTAACGCTCGCGTTCAAGAATGAGATAACGTGGTGCGACGGATCGTTTATCTACAGAACAACGCTACAAAACGAAAACAACACGAATTTCACATTCGTTAATGCATGAGAATGTCAAGGGAGGAAGATGGAGAAGACGCACGCGGGCGGGAAGGCTGGGGAAGGGGCCGCATCGCGTTTGATACTAACATAATTCGCGAACGTTGACGCGAGCGCGCGACAACTCTCCCTGTATGTATGCGAAATGAGGTTCGCCACGCGTCGCTTGGTTTCAGAAGCCCTATCGGCAGTGACAGGTGATGTCTGCGGTCGAATTCTCCCTAGTTGCAGTACGGCGGCTGGCGCCAGCTGGTCGTTTTTTCCCCGCGACTATCGCTAAATGGATCACTCTGATGACTCGACAACGGTAATTCTCCGCGCTAGCTTGTATCCAGAGATGCTCCCTGCATGCTCACGTTTTATAGAGCCGCCTCGTTTTTAGTTGCTCCGCGAAAGCGCGACCGAATTTCGATCAGCATCGACGAATTCTTTCACACTGCCGTCGTGTTTGTAGCACGCGCAATGTAAAATACATGATGGGTTCTTACAGCGATGCAATGGAATGAATAACAAATGTCGTTACGTCTAAATCGCATGCTAATTCCGATGCGTGCGCTACCTTTACAGTAATAATTCTACAAGGCGTACACGCGATAAACAAGTTGCTTTTGAGAAATTCTGTCTTCATCGTACATGCGTGACGTCTTGCGAGCTTCAATCAAAAATTGTACGATTATATTTTAATATATTCGTGTGGTTTTCATCACTACGTCGGTGGCAACCGGTGCTAGCTAATTATAATGCCGTAACAAAGCACAATTAAAAACCGAATGCAATGTACAAATAGTGTGACAATATTTACACTGCAATTTCCGTGTACACATGAACATTTGTACATCGCTATATGTAATACATCCATAAATCACTTGTGGATAGAAATTTTTTCGATCGTAATATTTTATCGTAACGTTTCTCTGCATTCTTCAGGAGTAAGTAACGGTGGTTTTCATTATATATTATTTATATTAACTGTATTATTTACTCCTGGTCTTATCTAATAGCCACATGCTAGAGACATACGCGTCGTTGCCCTTACGAGATGATAAATTTGCTCCTAATTCGAAATTGAGGGAACCCCTACCCCCGAGAAATACAAGCACGTGAAATCCCAGCGTGAGATGAATCGAGTTTCATTAACTTTTTTCGGCCTTTTTAAATATGGCCTTGCGCGCGGCAGTGCCACACCGCACATGCTCGCTAGCTGCGTGACATTGCATGGAGACGGCAATATTGCACACGGCATCATGAGATTCTACGCATTGGAGCGCGGCGTGGGCTGTGAGAGGTGATGTGGGGATATAGCGAGTTACCATGTCTCTCGTATCCTGCCATTCGCTCTTGGGCCCAACACAGCGCTGTACGACTTTCTCTTATTCGTCTATCTAGTTTGGCGTCAATCCATCTCTTAGAGGATCCGATATTTGGAGCTTACATCGACCAAACTCTTAGAGGATCCGATATTTGGACCTCACGTCGACCAAACTCTCACGGGACCCGATATTGCGCGTCTACATGGACCGACTTCTTAGCAGATACTCGATTATGACCTTGCATAGGTCAACCTCGTAGAGATCGTTGTTTAAGTGCGTAGCTGGGAGAAATACTCCGTTTAATGTTGGAGTAGAGTTATAGTGTTTTGCTTGCCCCAAGACCTTCTCCATTCGCCACTGAGTTCACCACTCGACAACTACTCGAAAGAAACACATTCATCGCGCTGTAAAAGTAACCACGTGAAGCCTCAGGCTCCTCTCAGTACATCTCGCTGCTGCTTGGCCACCGCCGCCGCTGCCGCCGTTACACTGTGTTCATGATCTGCGTGTCGCTATCGTTCGAACCGCGCTGCGAGTGCGTCGTCGCCGCGATGGCAGCGCCACCGTCGGCGTGCCGTGTCGGCATCGGCGACACGGCCAGGTGAGAGCCGAACGTCGTCAGCTCTGTGCGGCCCTTTTCGTTGATGACGACGTGCGCGTGCCGACCGCCGCTGCCGACGACGACCAGCGACGGGTCGTTGCTCGGCACGGGCAGCCGACCGCGCAAGCGCGCGTTGACGGCGCGTCCGCAGCCCGTGAACAGCGCCATGATCTCCGATCGCATCGTGTTGTTCAGCCAACCGTAGAGCAGCGGGTTCCAGCAGGCGGAGCTCATCGCTATAGCGTGGCACACGGCCAGCGGCAGCATCGACGAGCCGTACAACAAGTCCGGACTGAAGTCGGCGATCAGATTGTAGATGTTCAGCGGCAGCCAGCTGACAGCGAACACGACCGTGATTGCTATGAGCACGTGCGTCGTCCGACTCGAGCGCCGCCGCTCCTTGTCCTTCTTCGCCTGCGACAGCGCCGACAACTTCGTCCCGGCGCACATCGAGCGCCGATGGTACTTGAGGAACATGTGTATGCGCGCGTGCGCGACGGTGACGGTGATTACGGGCAGCAGGTACTGGATGATGATGACGGCGATAGTGCAGACGGCTTTCGCCGTCAGCGGGAACAGCTCGACGCACTTGAGGTACATGACAAAGCCGAGGTCCTTCTTGCCGACCTCGTCGATGCCCGTGTAGACGACCCAGGGGATCGACATGAGGAAGCCGACGACCCAGATGACGATGATCTTGACGAGTCCGCTCGCGCCGCGCGGCTGCGACTTCGACGACGACACGATGACGTTGTAGCGATCGAGCGCGATCGCCGAAAAGCTGAACGTCGACACGAAGACGTTCGTCGCCTGAAACGTCGGCACGAGTTTGCAGAGCAGCGTGCCGAACGGCCAGGCGAGTCGGATAAGCATGATCAGTGTGAAGGGCATGCAGATGGCGCACAGCGTTAGCGCCGCGACGGACAGGTTGGCGATGTAGAGATTACGCGCCGTGCGCAGGGCCGGCGTGCGCGCGATCACGTACACGAGCAGCAGGTTGCCGACGAGGCCGAAGGCACCGAGGATCGTGTAGGCGGAGATGAGAAACATCTCGGCGAGCATCGGTAGAGGGCGCGGCGCGTCGAACTCCTGGATGATGTTCCAGAACTGGCCGTCGCTGAAGTTGGCGAAGTTGATGGCGGAGTTGTTGCTGATGTTGCTGAGGTCGTAGTTGACACTCGGCATGATGATACCGCTGGCGGGGTCGACTAGCCAATCAATCTGTCCCGGGAACGCCGACATCTTGGCGCGACGTGCGAACTTCCTCGTTCCTGGAAGAGAGAGAGAAAGAGAGAACGGTTTAGAACGACACGATGATTTCCAATCTTCATTCACGTGGACGATTACCGATGTTCGGTGGATTTCGTGGATTCTCTGTAATGTCGTTATCAAAACGATATTGACGTTATGACGCATAAAAAATAAACAATGTGTTGTGATAGTTTCGATCAAAACGATGTCTTGGTTCGTTCGTGTATAACATATAACCTGTTTGCAGCGGTTAATTAGGGGTCATGCTTCATTATTGGTTCACTTTTTCAATTCATTCCGGGTAAGTTTTGACATGAAAAAAATTGTGAGCACTGAACGGCTTTTGAGATATGTCTGATGATCCCTAAACAGATAAACAACACATGACGTCTGGCGGTCAGGTCAGCATCCAGTGTTGATTGCTCAGCATTAACCGAAATCCGACCTATAGATTTGCGAGGTTTCAATGATACTAGGCCCTGGATATGTCATACTCAGTGCATTCGCCATCTAATTCCCCAAAAGGCTAAAATATGTTGATGCTGCAATGATGGTTTATTATAATACGTTATCTAATTACAAAATTATTAAGAAAGTTGTTAACAATCACTGCCCAATTACGCCTATGATGGCACGCTAAAATATTCATCAGAGTAAAATTAGTATAATTATTTTTTGAAACAGTAAGAAGGTTGATGTGCTCTAAGCAGGCTGACGTCACAGCGTCATATAGCGTCACTCAGTTGCTTCAATTAGAAAATGTTTGAACACGTTATTGCCTTAAGAAATATGCATACTGTGGGAGATCGCTTAGTTGTGTAAGCGCGCATATTGTTACAGCCTCCCTCCAATCCCTCTATCGTACTTTCTCTCACAAGCTTTTACACGACCTGTCTCACATGTGTGTATTCTCGCAACCGATCTCACAACCCGTCTTTAAGCTTCTCCGATCAGCTTTCTCTCAAAATCTCGAACACAACCACCCTATTATCCAGACTCACAGCCTTCTCTTCTCATGGACTCTCTCTCCCCCTTTCTCTTTCTCTCTCTCGCTTTCGCATTCTCTTCTCATGGACTCTCTCTCCCCCTTTCTCTTTCTCTCTCTCGCTTTCGCATTCTCTCTCTCTCTCTCTTTCGTTCCCTCACAAAACTTTTTATTGCTATACAGTTTGTTATGATCGGTAGTTTATATCTTCTACTCGGTTGTCTGGATTGCGTAATAAAACACAAATGACGTAACATATTTTCTATGCGCTTCAAATGTACACATTTTAATATTTACAAGATTTGTTTTCGGTTCAGCGGGCGCAACAAATGTAGCCACATAGAGGGATACACGCAACACGCACCCGGCACGCGACAAGGCACTGGGACGGCCGCAACGCACGACAGCACGCAGGTCAGCAGGCAGCACGCAGGCAACGCACGCAACGCACGCACAGGCACGCACGCTTACGCGACGCACGCACGCAGCATCAAATAACATCAACAGGCCACATACATACATTGACATTACATACATACATACATACATACATACGTACATACACACGTACATACACACATACATACATACCCGCTCCCTCTCCCCACAACGCACAGACTCGAACAATCCCTATAAACGCCCACTACGGACGCCTTCCTACGGACACAGGTGCTTTCGAAAGATTACTTTTCTACTTGAAAGACATCTGACTCTGCTGTTTATGGCTTCTATATGGTCATCACATTCGTGACCTTAGCGATAGCGGTCGACGGCATACAGGCGTACAAAGGTACGCTATGCAAGCCGCCGACGGTCACAAGCAAGCAGCCTTGATATTCTGAATGCGTCGACGTGGCGTAAACAGGCCAGCCACGAAACTCTACACTTACGCCATCGAAATAAAAAAAACTCCTCCGCGCCGTTACTGTGCAGTTCCATCGATAATAGCCAATAGTAGCGACCACTTGTAGGAAGTCTCGTAGAAACTGAGGGTGCTTGCACGAGCGCTGGGTAAAATTTACAAGCTGAAGCATTTTTTGCATCGTTCTGTCGCGGACTACGCTACTCCCTATATAAACCTATCTATATATCATTTCTGCTTCTAACTATGTCCATCAGCTAAGGAGGAGAAACGTGTTAAAAATGTTATCAAGCTATGAATTCCGTAAATTACGTGCAAGCAACGACGTAGCGTTTGCGTCGCGCCAAAATTTCACGATAATATATTCTCATTTGAAGAATAACACCGCGTAACGTGTACTAACGTCAGTATAATCAGTATGATATATGCTAGAAAAATACCAAATTTAATTTAATCTCGATATATAATCATATTAATAATACATCACACACATGCATTGACGTATAGACTCTGAGAAATTATACACATGAAAGTATACGGTGCTACCGAAATCAGAAGATTGATGCATTGGTTGATATTATACGTAATTTAGGAGAAAGGGGAAGTAAGCGTAGACAGACGAGAGCGGAAATGATACATTCGAGAAAGACCGGAAAAGAAGAGGAGAGGTGCTGAAGGATGACGAAGCTGATGGATGGAGAGTGGGAAGAGGATAGCAGCTAGGAGTTAATCGCCTCTCTGTCCCCTCTATCTCCGTCTCTCCCTTCTATCTCCGTCTCTCTCTCTCTGCCCTCTCTCTCGCGCGCTCTTTCTCTTACCCCTCTCTCGCTCTATCTCCCACCTCTCTCGCCTCTCTCTCTCTTTCTCTCTCTCTCTTCATTCCCGGTGACCTTTCATTTCCGTCTCTATTCTTCTTCTAATCCCTTATTTTCATCGCAACATCTTCCCTTACTCGCCTTCTCACGCTACTTTTTTTCGTTTTAACCCAACTAAATCTGTTTTTGATTACAGAATATAGATTTTGTTAAAGATTATAGATCTGTTCATCACAATCACTATAATAGTTACATAACACACACACGCACACGCACACACACGCACACGCACACACACACGCACACGCACACACACACGCACACACACGCGCGCGCACGCACGCACGCACGCACGCACACACACACACACACACACACACACACACACGCGCACAGTATAGCCGGCAGGTATATAAGCAACGTTTACTTGATGTTAATACAATTTGCCCGCCGCACTACTAGGTCATGAAGACCGTTGATTAGTAGCATGCCGAGGGAACATATACTGCAAGCATTTCCACTTGACATTTATACGCATTATAATGTTAACATCTTACAACGCATCCCGTACAGAACTGGACACCGAACACTAGACGTTCGGATAATAGCGTCTGGCGGACAATAGCATTCACGAAACCCGGCAAATTATTTGAACGAGACAAGATAATGAGTTAATATAGCATGCGCTTTTTATCCGTCCGCTCACGTACGTGCACGGCGCTAATGAGCGCCAACCTAATACGAAAATGCTCCAAATAATTTGCGTCGAAGGATAAAGAAGACACAGACACTGCAGTACTCGCGTCTCTAAAAGATGCTCTGCAGAAGTGTTCCTCTTTACGAAGGTAATGAGGTGCCTACTTCACTATCTTAGCTGGCGAGGATGCTACTAATGACGCATTCCTAGCGATTAATGTCGGTATATTTCGGTTGTTGTTGTCGTATTTTATTACTATCGCTCCTGATCTATCACGTCTTAAATTTCTCGTGATGCGTTTTACGCTTCTAGCTTTGTGTTAATCACATTCTCGTAAACAAGAGCAATCGGAGATAGCAAACCTAAGCCACAACGTAACAGTCCCCCCATCTTGCTGGTACACCCAATATAGAGTTTGATAAAATTTTCAGAAATTTGAAAAAAAAAAAATTTTTTTTAATGAATTTTGACTGTGTCCAAAGTCTTCTCCACAAAACAAATAAACAAAATAACTAAAAAATCCTGGATCCAGATCTAGATCCGGATCACTACGAAAATCTAATCGATTGTTTGGTGTCCCAAGACCAACCCGTCCAAAAAATTTCATCAAAATCCGTCCGTAACTTTTTGAGATATCCTGTTGACAGACAAACCAACAAATCAACAAACTAACAGGGGCGAAAACATAACCTCCTTGGAGGAGGTACTGGCCCATCTTGATACGAAACAAGCTAAACTGGTACACTTAGTAGACAGTATGAAGTTCTACACATCTTCTATGATATATGCCAATAACAAACTGCCACATAAAAAATTCCACTGCGCGGTGTGAACTTGGATTGACAAATTAAATTGTCATCTGTTCATGGTATTGTCTGCTTACGTAATTCCTATGCCGGTTGCTCCCAAAATCTCCAGTTTGGTAAAAACAAGTTTTTTTTCGAAAAACGCAAAAGGCCCTATGCCATTGATAGTTTTTAGTCGTATGTCATATTTTACCAGGGGGTGCCATTCATGTCACGTGGGTGCCATATTTGTGTGGCGTATGCACTATTTGTCAGGTGGATGCCATATTTGTCCGGCGGGTACCATTATTGTCACATGGGTACCATATTTATCACGTGAGTGCTATATTTGTCGACTGGGTGCCATACTTGGCCGATAAGTGCCATATTTGTCCACTGGATGCCATATTTATCCACTGGGTGCCATATTTGTGGACTGGTGCCATATTTGTGCGGTGGGTGTCCTATTTTCCCGCTGGTTGCCATATTTGTTTACTGGTGCTATATTTGTCCGATAGGTGTCATATTTGTTCACTGGGTGCCATATTTGTCGACTGATGCCATATTTGTCCGGCGGGTATCCTATTTGCCCGCTGGTGCCATATTTGTCCGATGGATGTAATATTTGTCGCCTGGGTGCCATATTTTTTTCAGTGGGTGCCATATTTGTCCGGTGGGTGTCATATTTGTCCCCTGGGTGCCATATTATTCGGCTGGGTACCATATTTTTCCGATGGGTGTTATCTTTTTTTCTGCTAGGTGTCATATTGGACAGGTGGATGCCATATTTGTCCGGTGCCACACCGGTGAATTCAGATTCACTCGTTCGTGGGTTCGCAGGAACTAA